AATATATAAATTGAATATAAACTAAATTATATAAAATGAATAACTATAAATAAACAAATAAAAATAAGTATGTCAATATTTAAATTTGGCTTTTAAATACGGTAAACTACACAAAGTTTACAACTGAGTTATTTAAAAATGAAAATACAACATTTCTTTTTTTTTAATGCTTATAAAATATTGCTGGATAACAAAGTAGTTAATTTAAATATCTTTCTCTTTATTGGTTTAAATAATGATTATAATATCAGGCTTACTTTGCTTCTCCAAAATAGCATTAGCCGTTTAGCTTTGCTTGTTTGCGCAGTCTGAAACTAGATAATTATTTAATCATTTGACGTATCAATCGTCGAAATCTTTTGCAAACCACCCTTATTTAACATAAGCATGAACATATAAATAATTAAAGATATAAACATAAGTTTAAAACTAAAGTTCACCCGACTGAAATGTCTCAAATACCTGACTAGGCGACTATGTTCCTCAAAAAAAAACAATAACTTAAAAATCACCTTCAGAGGGGAATAAAATAAGCATTTTCTAGGCTTATGCAAATATGTAGTAAAATAGATAACTTAATTTGTACTATTAAAGGTATAAGGGTGATTCCACTTCATAATGAAAAAGTTTTTCAGCCCACACTTAAAATTGAATGAAAAACTTATGTAGATGCCAACAATTAAGACCATATTTTGACGCTTTATTAAAAGATAAATTTAAATCTAATACTTTTTTTTATTGCTAAATACTTTTATAACATTGTTAAAAATATGACACTTACCAAATTAAAAAGATGCAATTTATACATGAAACTTATAGGTACGAATATAGAGTAGCGTTCGTTTCGATTTAGTGTAGTTTTAATGTTTTATAGATACACATGGGCTACATTGATGCCACCTCAAAAAGGAGAGTTAAACATATATAGAATAGCATTTGTGATAAATATATCAAATTGATGTTTTTATGTTCCTTTTATCATAACTTTTAAATACGTCTAAGACACTAAACAATTTTAAGTTTGAGTTTGCAAAGTTTCCTTTGGTTAACAATCATCGTTAAAAAAATGAGAAACATTTAATATTATTGCAATGGTTTGGTTATTTAAAGTTTATTTACAATATGTTTGTTACTGAGAACACGCATTAAAAAAGAAATTTACTTTTCTGTTAGTTTTAAAAAAAAATTTTCTGCGAGTTTTTATTTCCAACGGGTATAGTACATTAGTCGGACGTCTTAAGAACATCATACTGACTTGTGGCGTCTATAAGGCATTGTATAGAGGCGTTGTATAGAGATTGGATGACTGTGCCCGCTAGGTTGAAGCAAAATGATTTATTGATACTTTACAGTCAATGCTTTCAGCAAGCTCAAATTTAATAAATTATTGTTAATCTAAAAAGGTACTCTTTTGTCATTATTAATCAGAAATAACTTTTGATCTTTAGTCTTAAGAATGGAAGTACGTTTTTCATTTGTAATTTCTGTTTTTATCCTTTACAAAAAAAAAAGTCGTTTACTGTTTGCAAAGTCATTGTAGTTTTATGAATATCTGTCACTGTAAAATGACAGTAATTTTGATACACCATACTATGTTAAAAATCCATCTATATCATCTTGTCTATTGTTTTCTGCCATAAATGCGTGTGAGTTTGTAAAGCAGGTATGTAAACGATGGTTTATTGTTACCTAGTTTTCTATTTCCGTTTAAAATAAAGGCAGAAGTTTGTAAGGAGAAACTTATATTTTAGGGGTGCCAGTTCACCGGCTTAGGAAGCAAATAGTAATGATAAAAAAGATGAATAATAATGATAAAAGCAATGACAATAATTTTGGAAAACAAAAAAAGTGGTTTAGATAGTAATTGTATAAGGATAAACCGGATATTAAGTGTCATAATGGTTGTACAATCATTATGACAGGACAAACCATTGTCAAAATTTAGTCAGAAACCGGTGTCAAAAATTACTGTTTAAGATAGTTGTGCCAAATCTTGAAAATGATGTTGAATAATGTCAAATTTGGATAATTATTTCAAATTCAGATAGTTTTAAGGTGAAAGTAATAAATAATGCAAAAAGAATACCAAGAGATGCAAGGGCACAACAAAGAAAATGTAAAAACTTATTGTAGACACTTATTAAAAATTTGATTATGGAACTTAATTAAGAAATACACAAATGAATGACTGTGAAATCACTTAATAAACACACGGATATTGTTGATAGGACTATCAGAAACTAATTAGCTTGAAAGCTGCAAGAAAAACAAACAAGTTTTCAAAAAAATTTATTTGTGTCTAATTTTTTAAAGTGTACTTAATATTTACAATGTGCTTATCTTTAAAACTATATTCAAAATGACGTTATTGGCTACAAACCAAAACATTAAAACAATTTTTAGATTTTTCAAATTAATTGATTTTTCAAATCAATAGAACAGGTTGAAATTTCAAGGTTAGCGTTTTGTTGTTAAGTACTTTTAAAACCTCCTTTTAAAAATTGATTGGTCAGCGCTTTTAAAATTTGATTGTTCAGCCCTTTTAAAATTTGATTGTTCAGTGCTTTTAAAATTTGATTGGTCAGCCCTTTTAAAATTTGATTGTTCAGCGCTTTTAAAATTTGATTGTTCAGCGCTTTTAAAATTTGATTGGTCAGCCCTTTTAAAATTTGATCAGAACTTTTAAAATACACATTTTTAAAGGTTAAGCGGTAACAATTGATATTTTTGTCCTATGAAATAACGGGTTTTGTCCTATGAAATAAGGGGTTTTGTCCTATGAAATAGGGGCAGAAAAATGAGTGGGTTAAAAATTATATTTTATTAGTTTTATAATACCACTTTTAATCAGGTATCAACAAAGTTTAATAAAAAGTTATATTCCTGATCTCTGGAAAATGGCTAATTTAAGACCTATATTTAAAAACGGAAGTAAAATGCAAGCAATAAATTATCGACCAGTATCTTTGACATCCGTACCTTGCAAAGTATTAGAAAAAATTATTAGTGATAGCTTAAAAATTATAACGGACAGCTTAAAAAATTATTTAGAACCAAATAATCTTTTCTGTAATCAACAACATGGCTTCTTAAAGGATAAAAATTGTATAACAAATTTATTAGAATCCTTAGATTTTAACTAATGATAGACAATTCAGAAGACATTTTATATACCGATTTTTAAAATGCATTTCATTGAGCGCCTCATAAGAGATTAATATCAAAATTATGTGATTATGGTATAGAAAATAAAATGCTAAATTGGATAGAAGCATATTTATCAAATAAAAAACAACGCGTTATAATTGGGGATACAAAATCAGGTTGATTAGAGGTTCTGAGCGGTGTTCCACAAGATTCTGTACTTGGACCATTATTGTTTTTGTTTTATATCGATGAGTTACTCTCTAAAATTCATAATATATGCAAACTTTATGCAGATGATAACAAAATTATTGCTGTAGTTAATAACCAGGTAGACTCGAAAAGCTTGCAAGACGATATTAATAATTTAACTGGATGGTCTGACAAATGGATGATTAATTTCAACATCGACAAATGTAAAATCATGGATTTTGGAAAACATAATAAGAATTTTGAATATTATATAAAAGATTCAAAATTAGATTTAACAACTAATGAAAAAGACATTGGTGTGTCAATTTCAAATACTAGAGAGTGGAATCATCATGTAAATATGGTTGTAAATAAAGCAAATATTCAATTAGGTAAATTAACCAAATCATTCACTTACAAAGACAAAAACATAATGAAGATTTTATACTGCGCTTTTGTAAGACCGATTCTTGAATATGCATCACCAGTATGGAACCCTTATAATAAAAATGATATATATAAATTAGAAAGTGTTCAACAACGAGCAACTATATTGATTCCGGAATTAAAGTACCTACTCTATGAAAAAAGATTTAAAAAAACTCCAACTGACTTCCTTAAAAACAAGGAGAATAAGATATGGTTTAATTCAATATTATAAGATTTTTCATAATTTGGACAAAGTATTTTGGTATCAACAACCAAAAACAGCAATTTCTATTTCTGCAAATTGTCTAGCTGTAAACATTAGAGGAAATAATACACGCGTAGATATTGAACTAATAAAAATAAACAGATCAAGAGAAAATATTCTGACAAATAGAGTTGCAAAATGGTGGAATAAACTACCAGAAGAAATTTTTTTTGCCAAAAGTGTAAAAATCTTTAAGTACAAGCTTGATAAACATATGGATGAAACTCTGATCTCTGAAAATGATCGGATATTTCGAAACTGTAATTAGGGCTCATAATAGATTCAACATGGCGTTGAATCTCATGGAGCTTAAATAAATAAATATACATTGATTAGAGTTATCATGATGCCTACCGGGTAAGTCGCGTCAAATTGCTTGGGGTAAATAGAATCTTAAAATAACTGCGGGTTTTATTCGTTTTACGCACTATTGTTGTTATTTTTAAAATAATTGGACGTTTTTTTAACGAAGGAATTAGTTCTAGGTAGCAAAAATCTGCTAATATTTCTACATCAACAAAAAAAAGCATTAAAGAAACCTAATTTTTAAATTGGAACGTAATTAATTCTTTAGTTTTTTAATACTTGTTTGTATTAAAAAACTAAATAATTTTTTAGTTCTGTATTTTTTAAACAATGTATCCGTTAAAAAAATAATCGAAAAACAAATATTTTAAACATCAGCTATTGAGAGGAAAAAATAATAATCGGAAAACAAATAATTTAAGCATCAGTTATCGAGAGGAAAAAAAATAAAAAATCGAAAAGATGAGAACAAAAAAAAAGAGTTATGAAAAAAAAAACACGAATAAAAAAGGAATTTAAATAAAAACCATTTTGTTGAAAAAAAAAATGCTTTTTTTTAATATTAAAAATGTTTCTTAATATTAAATAAAATGTTCTTACAACTTTTAAATAAAATTTGTTTAAGTTTTTGCGTAATGTTGTATATCAAAAAATCAAGTATGCT